GAAAGAGGAGTGGAGAAAAGATTTCTTGAAATATTCAAGTATTTCAACTCAGACAAACAGAAAGTTAGCAAAGGCAAAGTAGCATAATGGCAGGATATTTAATTAGCTGTGAGTCTGAAACAGTTTCAGTAAAATCTATTAGTGCAATATTCCATTTCTTCTGCTGCAAGTGAGTGGGAATTTTGCTGGTGATTCTGAGAAGACAGGACGGTGGCCCTTCTTTGCTATGAAGTAACATCTTCATGCTGTCTGATGGCATAGTGAGTAATGGCTAGAGATACATGGGTCTAATTAAGAGGATTAAAAGAGAAGAGAAATTAACTGAAAGATGTGACAAAAAGCAATAGGAGATGAGAGAAAGCAAGCAAGCCATTTACATCTCAGAATTTGAATGTAGCCTAGCTGATGTGAAACTATCAGATTAAGTTTGTCTCTAATTTAGGATTTAGAAGAATAAACTTTTCACTTGAACTATAATTGTCATCAAGATTCTCTACTGAAATATGGGCAACCCAAAGAGCAACTTAGTGAAAAAGAACCAGAAAATGAAAACAAATTTGGAACAAAATTAAGCATATAAATATGATTCTGTTGTTCAGAAAAAAAAATAATTCTCAAACAGAAAGTGATAAAAAGTCAAATCCTGTGTTGGTTTTTTTTTTCCGTAATATTAGGTTTCTATTAGTGTAGGTATGGATTTTAACAATTATGATTGTGACATTCATATAAATTGAGGAAGTCAGTCCACGATTTTCAAGCTTGCAGAATTGGTTTTAATCTATTTTTTTTTCCTAATGATTCATTGATATCTCTGTTTGTCTACTAAAAAGAAACAACCTAATTTTAGAGGAACATTAATGCACAAGACATTGCCTGATAGTGAATGTTTAGCATATATCACATAAACATCACACAGATGGAAAAGATCTCAGCACTGTATGTAGCTAGTGACTGCAATAATCTCTGACATAAGCAAAGGAGCAAGCCATGATGGATGAATTTGGGGACTGTGGTGTTATGGGAAAACACTACAGGGATAGTTTCAAGCAGGAATTACTGTAAGATTCTAAGACTACAGTCTGTAAAACTGTAAGAACTGTCTTAGAAGGCTCATCCGAGTTTGTGTCAATTTATCTTCTCTCCTCCATGTATTTGGAACATACTGTACAACAGACAGAAGAAAAAAAAGAAGCATCAAGGATTTGTTCAGCCTATTGTTCAGTATGTGTCACTGGTTTGTCCAAGACAAATTATGCTCTGTGAAATGGTGGCCATGAAAAGCAAATACGGAGCAAATCATCTGTACATATATTACAGTAAGGATGTTGCTGAATTGATTCATTGACTGATGTTGACAATTAATGTGGATTTCTTGTGAATCAGTACTAAAATTCATGGCTACTTCTGAATACCTTTAGCTTGACTCCTTTTTTTTTTTTTATGGGCTTCCACAGCTTTACCCCACTATGGAAGGAATCATGATGCATAAGATAAGCTGAATTGAGAGGGGTCATATTCGTCATACATATGTGACTTAGAGCACCAATGATAGATTACGTGCAAGTTGCGCTGCATTAGGTAATGTGCAATTTTTTCAGTCACTCTTTTCTCATTTCCATGGAAAAACTTGTGACATGCAGCACTATATGAAGCGTGGAAATGGCTGGATTCAGGGGTCGTGAGAATCCTGATACTTTTCAGTGTATTCAAGGCCCTCTTGGGCCTTTTCAGCAGTGGAGACACAACTGGATTGTGGCACAGCAGATTCCAGTTGTGGATGGAGTTATCACTGAAGAATGGGAGAGAGAGTAGGAGAGACTGCAGAGGCAGTTTGGAAAGGAGAGGCTGTTTGTAAACTAGGATGGTTCTGTTGGCTTTCAGGAAGAGCAGAGGGTATTGGAGGATCAGTATATTTTAGGACATGCTTTGATTGAGTGAGGAGAACTAAGAGGTGTGCTGACTGGTGTTTGGAACTTCAGTGCAGAAGAGAATAGTAAAATTGCTTCTGCAATGCAAATCTGTAGGCAAAGTGTATGAATCAGTCAATGGAAATTACAGTGTTAAAGGGAAGCTAGGAACATCAGAAAAAGCTACAATGTCGAGTAGAGAGGTATTAGTAACAGAGGAGAGTGGACATGTAAATTAGTGCATGTGCATTGGTGCAAACCTCCCATGTAGCTCAACTTTAACAGTCTTATACTATAAGAAGAGAAATTATCATGTTTTTTTGTAATATTTGGATTTGCTTGACTTTTTGCATGTCATGACGAGCATGGAATTGATTATCAAAATGGTATGAGTCTTCTGTGGGATTATTATATTTTATTACATGATCCAATCCTATTTGAATACAGGAAATTAAAAACAGACCTGTAAAGGAACCTTTGTACATCTTCCAGCAATGTTTATATTTTATAATGCTTACGAGTTTCTGTAAAGAAACTGCCTGTTCTTAGACTGCAAAGGACAATATGAAAAATCAGGTGTAGCTGTCACTTCAGTGTATTTGAACCATACTGAAATTAAGATCTTATTCCCTATTTAATTGGAGACTTCAGAATAAGCAAGAATAAAGCAGAACAGATGGGATTCCATTTTAAAAATGAGTAATCAATAAACAATATCACCCTAGTACAGCAAGGAGAGGCTTGTTAAATGAGGAAAGTAATTGAAAAGGGAAAATATGTTCTGGATTGCTGTTTGGTTTGGATTTAAAAGGCAGAGGTGAGCCTTCTCCCTCAGCACTTCCTAGCTCATTGACTAGTTTGGTGACAGGATGTCACTCAATTCATAATAAAATCAGCAATTTTACTATTTCTACTGTGTGTAATGAGATTGGGGCCATGCTATAGGTGTACAGGAACTTCTCCTTTGTACCTCTGAGCAGGAACTTCTGCTACTAATAATCATCTTTGCTGAAATCTGTAGTAAATGTTAGATGTTCTAAGTCTGTGAAGAGGAGAATGGGTTCAATATATTAACCGTCTCTCTACACTTTTTCCTCTTTGAAGCCAGGGAAGTATATTCTGCACCTGCTCTGACATGTTCTCCTGCTCTCATAAAATGTGCATTCTGTTCTCATGGAGAGTGCTTTTGAGGCAGACACCACAGGATAACGCACAGCAGGATAGCTTTGAAAAAGTTGGATTCCACCCAGACAAGCCTATAAACTGGCCATTATGGCCACCTTCTGGGAGAGAGTGAGGAGGCTGAGGAAGGAACTGATTCTGGGGCAGAATCTCTGATGATTCTAGTTGGGTGGCTGTCTGTCCCTCTCTGTAAAAATGAGCAACCTGCAGCTGTGTTTTTGTGAGGGACACAGTGCTGAGCATATGTGTTAACGCATGTTCAGAGTGTACCTGAGTGGATGGCACTGAACACTGACGCAGGGGACAGAGAACAACCAGGGCCTCCTCTGTTCTTTACATGCTCCTAATGAGGCAGAACTGCCTGCTTTCCTCCTTCTTTCAAGGCATTGTTTCTTGTAGACTGTCAAAGCTGTTGTTGTCCACTTTGGGTGATGGCTTTTGGAGCTCTCCGAAGGTTACGTGCTGCCCCTGTGCTGTGAAAGATACTTGTACTGCACTGGGAGATTTGCTTACCAACTGCCATTGCCATTTACGTTAAAGACATATCCCTGCCTACAAGCCCTACATATGTGTGAAAGAGTCTGAACAGTAGAAGTTTTCTATATCTTCCTTAGACCTTGCTTGTTAGGATTATCAGAAGCTGAAGCAGTCAACTTCAGCCAGAGGCTGGTACTCATCTCTGTGGATGTATTGGGGAGTGATCGTCTTGACAAGGGATCCTATTCCTGTTTACCCTCCTTCTGAAAGGTAATTTAATTGAGATTCTTTTTGCTGTCGTTAATTACTAGAGGGAACTGAGAAAGATTGAGAGCAGAGAATCTGCTGGCTCACATCATCAGAAACAATAATAAACTCAAGGGATGGTTTAGTTTCTTATTCATCAAAATAGTGTTTACCAAATCTGTGCTGGCATGTTCTTAGTAACATGAAGCCAAGACTTCTCTCAGCACTGTGCTCTATCACAGTACTTGGCACAATGTCTTAAGATAGTAAGCTGAATCATTGTCACAATTCCTGGCTGTTCTTTCTGATGCCTTCACTTGACTTCAGTTTGATTCTTCCCTCACTTGGGACCATGAAGCATACCAGGACCATCTCTGTCTTTCAGCATCTTAGCACAGGAAAGTAGGAAGTAGTACATTTAGCATAGTCTGGATGGAAGGGTAGTAGGTCACACTTGTTCCACTGACGCGTTATCCAGGACTGATATACACATGTCATATCTACTTAGAATGGATTAATGTGGAGGTAGAGACCTTTTACCTAAGGCTTCTTGTCAGGACATAGTATTGGGATTTCAAAAGTTTATTACAACATGATGAATCCACACCTAGCTTTCTTCAGTAGTGGAACTGGGTAATGACCCCCATATACACAAGTTGCCAGTTTCTTAGTTAAGAGTGTCACATCATTAGGCGATCATGCCCACATATGACATATAAGTTGTGGTGGAATGCTGCTCCCCTTAATAAAGCTTAACTGTTCTTCTGAGAGAAGGATTTTCTGTTTTTCTGGTATTTTCACTGCTAACTGAAAAAGCTCCAGGAAATGCACTTATCCAGCCAAATGGACTAGGTTCTTAGTCTTGTAATTCCAGGGGACAAATATTGCACCGTTATGTAGTCTGGATTTGCTCCTTGTGGAAGAAATAGATTTTGTTGAGTTGTTCTCATTCATGATTCCTTGTTAGGCATTTTTTATCTTCATCCTCTGGTGAAGGAGGCTTCTATCCTGTTCTATGAGACCAGCATGTCTTACATGGCTAGTCACAGTGTAGCCAGTAGAGAGCCCTGTGGCTAATTCATAAAGAACACTCGAGTGCTGAAGCTTGTCCATGTAGTCTTTGATGCTCTAAACAATAGTTGACAGGTTTAAGC